CTTCTGTGTTGCTATTGAAATAGGCGTCAACCAAGGCATCAGTCTCACCCTCAGTTGCTGAGCGGACATCAATATGGTGGCGCTATCAGTGCCATTATGGACACGTATGGTGTCAATACCGACCCCCAAGTTTTCCAACAGCAGCAGTACCCTTTCTGTCATGCCTCTCACTCATACTGCAAACAGGATCAGCCTTACGTAACCAAAGATCTAGGTATGTGCCTTCGGGAAATCTTAAAACTAGAACCTGATTTTCCATTACCACTATTAATTGAGTTTTTTCTGATCCCTTAAAATAAGAAACCAACTAGTCTGTGATCATTTCAACGTAGCCACTTCTACTATGTGATGGCCGCAGGAATTTTTAGTAGGCAAAAGAATTATCGGGTATTTTAGCGCTGTAACTTGGTTAGGAATCAGCCGATTTATTTTAATTGCTTGTGAATCAATTATCTATTCGTGACTGAGATTAAGTGCCTGTTTTTATCTCTTATGAGGTGTACTAGTAATGTCAAACGCTCTCCTTACTATTTAGTGATGCGTAAAGAAATGGAAGGATTGAGTTACAAACGTGTTAATTTTGCTCCTGTAAATAGATATCTACACTCATGACGCTCTCGTTCCTGAGAGCTTTCATCACACTCTGGGAGAGGAGCTCTATGGACCGAGCTTCAAACCGGAGAGTTCCTTGAAGGCCTCCTGTTCGACTCGCAATCAGATACGCCATGTGGGTTTCTTTTCATTAAAGTTGCTAGAATTTATCTGTCGAATTTGCTCTCGTCTGTTATGCTCACTGGTTTAAGTGGGAACCGGAATTAGGCGCCAAGGTGTCTATTTTCTTCAGTATTTTACCATCCGCCTAAGTTCTTGGTACTGAAAAATTCAGACCTGGATAAAATCTACCATATTTTAATTTTTTTGGCTGGATCCCCTATTTTAACACAAGAATTGGAGATTTATATGATGCTCCATGCCGATGGACGATCACTTTTAATCTGGACTACCATGGTTGTGTTTCGGCATAGATGCAGGTTAGCGGTCGGAATTCCCTAAGCTCGAGCGGCTCCGGTCACCTGGGTCCTGCAGATTTGGCTGCCATGTACTCTACGCCGTCCACTTTCGAAACAACCCTTTCAATGGGAAGTAGTGCCTCCTGTTCTCAACTCAGTCCAACCGAATTCAAGCCTCTGCTGTCATTTCACGCTGAAACGGACTTCTCGTATCCTGAGGAGGCACATTTGCGCCAAAAGCAGAGTCTCACCAACGCCTTCGTCCGGTCAATCCTGCACAATACACGGCCTCTTTTTGATCAGGAAGTTATGTGCTTCCATCGAGTCAGTCTGTTTTTTGTTTAGAACTTTTTTGATCGATTGGCTTGTTGATGCGTTATTCCCCCAAAATATCAACTTCACATATATCGTCATTCATACAGTACAGTTTCAAAGCAGCTGTTGCTGTCGGTTTTTGAGCACTATAAGTTATGGCAAATCAGCAACTTTTTATGTACTTAATAAAAGTTTTAAACGGGAACTTTACCAGTTGAATAAGTGATTTTGGTGCTGTTTCACGAATTATTTGATTTATGGTGCTATGTTGAACACTTCTGACTTTTCAGGAATGGCAGTTCATGTGTCCACCCTCGGTGCAAATCCCATTTTCAGCCAAGTTTAAGCTTACGCCGGAGGAGTTGCACCAATATAGGGAGCTGGACATGACATTGCGACCTACTCTAGGCTTTGAGCCTTCTTCTGGGTCGACCACTGGGCAGAACGATGGCTTTTTTCTTCACCTACCTCGTCGCTCATCGCATACGCTTCCGTCATCCCACCCGCCACACCGCCCTAATCACCACCCTTCCCGAAGTCACGGTCAGGCGGATTTCACTGCGCTAGCAACCGAGCCCGAGTCCAGTACTTTTGACCTCGATGAATTACGCGGTAGCGATGCCCTCAAGGTCAACATAATCCTTTCTGATTCACTTCTTAACCTTTTCAAAGACCACAATTTCGATTCCTGCAACATCTGCGAGTGTGCTACCTCCATATTGGGCATGGAAATTGACGTCTACGTGTCTGGACCCAGCCCTGCTCCTACGCGATCCTGCAACTGTGGCTTTTCTGCTTTGGTTAATAGGAAGTTCGCTCTTGCGGGCAACTTATTTTGGGAAGATGAAGTAGAAGTTGCGAGTCTATCAATCGCCAGTGTTGATGTCGCGAAACTTCGCCCTCGAAAACCCCAGCCTTCACGCACTGCGACTACTGCGTATTTGCCCATCCTCACCCAGTGGATGCGCGGTCCTCTTGAAGAATTTGGTGTTCGTTTCCTCGTTGAGTGGCTCCAAAGTGTTGACACTGCAACGGCGGTCTCTGAGGTGCGCCAGGGAACTGTCGAGAGGGATGCTCTCTACGACTATAATGGCAAGATTCATCTTAATTTTCCAAATCCTTGGTTTCTTTTCACTTGCTTTTTTACTGTAAATTTGCTTTAATTATTGAACAACTTACACTACTCCAGATTATTACTCAATGTATAATCGTTTTATACAAGGGTCTGTTTTCTATTCATCACACTACAGGCCGCGTTTCATTCACAACTACTATAAATGTTGGTTTAGATGTATGTGCTCTAACTGCCTCTGCGTTGGAGCAGAGTGCTTGTGATCTCTCTTCTTTGGACGAAATGATGATGGGTAATTCCAGCCCGAGGGAGAGTGCGTCGTTTAGACATCTTCGGCTAGATGAAACAACCCGCAAGGAAGGTGTTGGATTCCACCCCGCAGTATTCCGCCAGCTGCCTTCCGATTTGCCTTCCAATAAGAATGATCAGATTCGCTTACTCGGGGTATTTAAAAAATATGTCAATGTGTTTGCCACTTTTTAGCGTGAGATTTTACGTCCGTCATTATTATTATTATTTGACATTTTAGCCAACAGAAAAAGATAAATGTCAGTGCTAGGTGAGAAAGAAAATACTAGAACCCAAATTATGAAAATCGTAGTTACAATTTGCGCACGTTTTTTTAAAAGTTTCCAAACTAATTTGGAGCCTATTTTTCAGAGTGTTCGATTGTGGTTGCAAGAGGCAATCGATCAGTTGGAGTCTACTTACAAAGTTGAGGGTCCTCTCACCTGGAAAGCCTTCCATCAGCTCGCTGGGCGTGGACACAGCGAATCCTCTAAGGCCCAGCCGATTCCGCAGTTTCGAGTTGGTGGTGCATTGAAAAATGGGAATACTCATGTCCTCATTTCTCCCTTTAGTGTTCGCGATTGGGTAGGTATCCTCCAATGTTATGCGGGCTCGTTTGAAATGTTTTTTCAGTACGATGGTGCCAACTACGATATCGTAGTGTGCTATCCCTCTGTGTCACTTTTGAATGTTATGCGGTGTAAGTCACACTACTCTGTCGCCTGGATGATAGCTTGAGTTTTGGATCATTTCATTGCTAATCACAACTGAAAATGTATCCCTTTTTTCTTTTAACACAAATATTGACGACAGGCGAATAGACTAGACATTGTCGGTTCATGTTCAAGAGCAGATTTATAACGGCCCTACTGGTAAACTAACCTGCCATGCCCTCAGCGTCTCAAGGACTAGCAACAAGTATGTTTATTTTCGCAATTAGCACTAATGGTATCAGTACCCTTTTGTGAAGTGTGAAGTCGGAGCATTTTTATTGCTGTGTTTGACAAGATTCGATGTAACGTGCTCCTAGTCTTGGAGAGTTTTTACTTTAGGACCATCTGTCACTGGCACCTCTATCGCGATCCAAGCGCGTGGCTTTTGCTGTTGTCTTGCCCACATGGCAGAGCCATGGGGTTAGCTCTGTTGGACTTGAATGTCAGCGCCGGTCGATTGAAACACTGGCGACTTTCTTCTATGAGCTTTCATCAGCCTTCAAGAACTGCCTCTTTGGTGAACATTACCCTTATTACCAGCCCAAAGCCGGCAATCCCGAATCCGCCTTCATACACGTGCAATGCTCCTTTCCCTACAAAGGCAAGTCAGCCTTATTGTCGCTTTAGCTGTGAACTTAAAGTAGGGTAATTTGGGTTTTGACACTGGCATTTTAGTATTGCTTATCTATAGGTAAGCTACCACTTCTGCTTTCTCCTCATGTAGATGAGAACGATCTCTCGTCCGGATTTTCTCCCGTTAATGCTCGTCAATCGCGTCGTCGACAGCAGTCGGGTGGGAGTGGAACTCATCTGACGGACGCGATTCTCTTCAGTCTGCAGCGCTATAAATCGGGGGCCATCCATGCTGTGCGGAAGGCTCTCTCAGAGCGTGGGGTCGCTCTCCCTGACGGCTCCTGCTCCTCACTTTTGGCACCGTTCGCGGGTATGCAGGACATGGCTCCCTCCGCACCTCCAGTCATTCTCTCAAAAATCAGCCCCCTCAACGGACATGGTCCTCTCACAACAGCTTTTGATCCCAATGTTGACTGTCAACATGATGTTACTTTGGTAATCTACCTCATCGATCCCTTCACACAGGTTGGTTTCTTTTATTATAAACCTAAGCTCAAAATTGTTAAACTATACAATATTTCAGTTTAAACGCCGATACTTATACGGTCCCTTTACAGGTTCCTTTTCTTTTTGCTTGTAGTCTCCTCTACTTCGATTACTTTTCTGCCTTTATTCATACAGCTTTTTGATATGGGCGACGAGTTGCGAAACCTAACGACCCGGTGCCTAGCAGAGACGGCGGGTCGGATGACTGCCCAATTGCCGGCATCCTGGCATCAGCGTGTGTTCGTACAGCTGTTGCCTATGTCGCACGTGGTCTCGCCCTGTTGTGGTGTTGTTGGTCGTGAAGACGCAGGGGAGGCTGGTTTTTTGCCTCACATAAAATCCATGGCACTTGCTGTCTACACCTCCATTGATCGTGTCATTTCACCCTCCTTGATCAATGCCAACCGAACCCTCACGGGAATGGGTCCTGCTGCTGATAAGGAGCTTATCTCGGCCAACTTTCAGGTCGGTCTGCTGAAACTTATTTTCATCTATCAAGAATGAAAGCTGATCTACGATGTTTCAGAGAGATCTTATTCAATTGATTACGACATCAAACCAAATAGCTAAGCCATGATTGCATTAGTTATTTTTGGCTTGTGATTTTCACGGTATTTTTTCTATAGCTTCATGTTCATCCAAAATAATTTTACAGTTTATTGTCTTTATCTTGGTGTCGCACACGGGTGTTTGGAAATTTCACCTATCGCCAATTAATGGAAAGAACATTGATAGATTAGTAGGAAGAAGACAAGTGCTATTAAGCGCATTTTAGAAGGATCACATTCATCGCGTCTATGCGCCGGCCTACATCCTGGCACAGTCACATGATCTGTGGGGTCAATGGGATGTGCATCCTGCCGAACCCTTACAACCTTCCTCTGTGCTTTTCGTCTCATACTGCCTCTCGGAGGATCTTCAGTGGCTTCTAGCCACCTGTACGGATCAGTATGGTACTCTAGCGCAGCAGACCTTCATCAACATTGTTGCTCCTGAATCCATGTGCGCACCCTCAGGACAATCCACAGCTGGCATGGGGACAGACGGATTTCATGTCTCCACTCGTCGTCTGGCGTTGGCACGCCTCTGGGACTTCATCATATCCGTAATCGCCGCCACATCCAATCCCTGGCGTTTGGTCGTTGGACGACTCGGACGTTTGGGACATGGAGAACTTAAAGGTGAATGTGCATGATCCTTTTCCAGACATTTTGCTAGAAGCAATGGATTATTTGAATTAACTTGAAATATTTTAGCTCGTAAATGCAAATCTTTTTCTGATTTACTAAGCAATCTTTAATTTGGGCATTTGAAGAAAAAATGTCTATGACGCTTTCTGCATTTATATGTTTTCCACTGTTTAGGTTGGTGCGGATTATTGAGTCGCAAAAATCTGCAGAATGTGAACCGCTCCCTGCGTGCTAACTGTGCCTTATGCAACGTGATAACCTTGACCCCTGCCATAATGAACAACAATGGTCCGACTTACCGCGGCAAATCGACCGCCACTACTAACCTAACTGCGGATTCTCGCGTACCCAGCACGTGTGTTCATGAGACGCCCTCGTTGATTTCCGCCTGCCTCGTTTCTACTGAACCCCAGTCTACTTTTCGTCTCTTCCCCGGCTCCGACCTTAACACTGGCGATCTCGGTGGCTCTGGTAGCCACGGTGGTGGTGGTCACGGTGGCAGTGGTGGTGGTGGCGGTGGCGGCGGAGGCGGTGGCGGTAGTGCCTCAGCCTCGGGTGGAGGTGCTAGTGTTGCTGGGGGACCTGCTGGGCAGGCGTATGCTGGACCTTTCGCTAATGGCGTCATCTCCGCCGTCGGTTATGCTCCAAGCACTACTCACATTCTCGTCTTTCCTACCAGTACATCTGCGCAGGCTCAGTCTGTAAGGAAGTTCACATTTTCTGTTTAACTTGCCACCTTTTTCTTACGTGGTCAATAACCGGGTCGCCGTTTGGTAAAAGTGTCCTGAAGGAATTTGCTGTTTGTGCATGTCTAGGAGCAAGACGATATCAACTTCACCGAAATATTCAGTGAGTTTTATGAAGACAACGACCTAGACGACCACACTGCTGTGGGCATGCCCAGTTTGGATACTCTGACTACACCAACCAGCGCAGGCCCGGGTTGTAATCTGGCCAACGTTGTAGCAGGCGTAGTTGGAAGCGGCGGCTCCTGCTCAGGAGTGGCTCAGGATCCAAACGGAGTGGCTACTGGTCAGCTGATGCCTATGACACGAAGTGGCATACCTGCAGAACCCAATACTCATGGTATGCCCTACGAGGTTGCCTGTCGTGAACGCGCCAAGTACTTTCTTCTTGATGCTCTACTCCCATTTGGTGTGCCCGATCCTCAGGTTTGTCATCTTATGCACAGGCCAAACATTATCTGCGTGCGATATTCAATGAACTGAGTCTAGACAGCCTTCTCTAATCACTTCATTTCACTATTCACTGGATACATTTGCTGCGACTCTGCAGCTCCATTGAAGTCATCTAGTTTATAGGTCATGCTCACAATCTTTGGTAAGGTCCACAATTCTGGTCGATA